ATGACCACTCAGTGTATTTTCTCCATTTGTGAACCTTTTTAAGTGTGACCAGAATTGTTTTGTTTTTGTTTTTTCGTTGAGTTTGGAGCATAAGTTGTCCCATTGTTTTTGTTTTAGAAGTCTGACTTCTGTTCATATTTTATTTGTCAGTGTATTTATTTCGCTTTTGTTGCTTGGTCTGTGTTTTCCATGTATTGTTTTGTGCCAGGTATTATTTATTGTTGCGTGTTTGTGTAGCGATGTTGTTTGTTCGGCGGCTTTTGTAAGGCACTCCGTGATTGTTTAACAATAAGTATCTATTTCAGATTGTATCTTCATCATCTTCATCGGGATTCGGTCCATGTTTTGGACCAGGGAGGGTCAGGTTCAGCGTAGATCTATTGCTCCTTCTCAGAAATTGTTATTTAGTTTGCACTCTTACTGAATCCTAGGTAATAACCCTTGTTACTTGTTGTTGAATTACTCACAATAAGTTACATTTTGTCCATTGTCCGCATTTTAAATTAACATACCATTTTCGTGCCATGTACAATTCATGGGGTAATATCAACTTGTATCATTTTAATAGCTTCACTTACATATATATATATATACACACACACATAATCCTTTTTTAACATACAAAACCCTTTTAAAATAGAGTTACGTTTATGTCTAGGATTCAGTTAGCTGTTTGGAACTGTAAGTTTCTTACTTATGATATTTAGAAGGGAGAGGTACTTTGGGCTTGGTTTATCATGTATTATGTAACTCTCTAGTTTGCTCTTCAGTTAATTTTTATTAATATGTTTCTTATAATATTGAAACGAGTTATCCAGAAGTTTGTCTGATAGAGTTGACATGTTTGAATAGTTGTGTAGAAATTCTGAGCTTGTTGATGGTGGGACTCTATATGCTTTCGTTAAAATATAGTTTTGTATTTGTTGTAGTTGGTTGATGTGTGTTTTTGATGCCTTTATCCATGTTATACAGGCATGTTCTACAACTGGTCCTATGTATCTTCTGTAAATTTTTAATATGTTTTCTGGTGAAGCTCCTTGTTTGTTGCCAGTCAGGTTCCTAAGGTAATTCACTCTTTCACAAATTCTGGTTTTATGCTATTAATGTGTGGTATCCGGTTTAATTTTCAGTCATTGTAATCCCTAAGAATTATGTTGATGTTGCTACCTGTAAGAGAGTCCCGTCTAGATATAACTTTGGTTGTTTTTTTACGATTTTGTAAATAATATGATTTGTTTTTTGTGCGCATTAATTTTAATTCTCCACTTATTGCAGTACAATTATATTTCGTTTAGTAGTGTATTCTGCTGTTCTGCTTCATCAGGATTTAGGTCCTTGTTTGAACATGGGAGGGTCAAGTGCAATTTAAATCTCTTCCTCCCACATCGTGGGTGTAATTTTTCCCTCAGCATAGATGTTGTTTAATTTTTCAGCATTTTGATTTCTTGGCATTTTTTTTGTACACTGTCAAATGTTGAACGCGACCTAAAGAGGATATTGCTTTCATGAGTGTTTATCATATGAATTAAATTCCACTATCAGGGCCATGTCCATTTATGTTCGAACATTCATCATTTACACTGGGATATACTTGCTAATTTGAAGTCCATATATTCCAATATCATTCATATTGTGGCTTATTCTATGTGTATCTACATAAATACCCTTTTTAATACACTATAATATATATATAATACAAAATTATATACTCGGTTTGTTTGTTTGTAATTAAGCACAAAGCTACACAATGGGTTATCTGTGTTCTGCCTACCACGGGTATCGAAACCCAGATTCTAGCGTTGCGAGTCCGCAGACATACCGCTGTGCTACTGGGGAGCAATATATTAGGTAGGTCTAGCAATAGGTGGCATATTACTGAACTTATAGTACATATTTATGGGTGAGAGGTTTGTTTGTTTTGGAATTTCGCGCAAAGCTACACGAGGGCTATCTGCGCTAGCCGTCCCTAATTTAGCAATGTAAGACTAGAGGGGTAGGCAGCTAGTCATCACCACCCACCGCCAACTCTTGGGCTACTCTTTTACCAACGAATAGTGGGATTGACCGTCACATTATAACGCCCCCACGGCTGAAAGGGCGAGCATGTTTGGTGGGATGCGGATTCGAACCCGCGACCCTCAGATTGTGAGTCGAGCGCCTTATCCACCTGGCCATGCCGGGCATAGGGTGAGAGGTACTTAGGCTTATTTCCACCATGTATGATATAGCGATCTAATGCATGTAACATTTCGTTTTTATGTAAATGTTTCTTAAAGTAGGTGAATAATCTGCTTAGAAGACTGTCATGGAGTGGTTGTAAGTTGGCGTATTTGTGAAAAAAGTGAGAATTTGTTGAACGAGGAACTTTGTATGCACTACTGAATGTTGTATTTTGTTGTTTCTGTAGTTTAGTTTTAATTTTCGTAGATGCGACATTAATCCAGGCTGGACAAGCATATTCTATAACTGGTCGTATGTATTGTTTATATATATTTAATATATTTCTTGGTGTTGTTCCTGTATTATTTCCTGACCGACTTCTAATTTGAATTATCCTTTTGCCAGATTTTGTTTTAAATTGCATTTATATATTTTTGCCAAGTTAAATTTGTATCATATGTAAAACCGAGAAATCTTGCTGATGTAGCTGTCTGGAGAAGTGCTCCGTTTAGACATAATTTGGGGATGATTTTGATTAGTTTCTTCAATTTTGCAAGTACTAGGATTTGTGTTTTAGGTATATTGATTTTTATTCGATTCTTGGAACAGTATTCGGTGTTGGTATTTAGTGAAGGTTGTAGACTTGTAGCAGCTATAGATGGCGTTGCGGAACTCTTCAAGATAACTACATCATCTGCAAATTGTGAGGTTAAACAAAAATTTGAGTCGTCTAATGGCAATGTCGTTTACATACATGATGAAGAGTATGGGGCTAACTACCTCTCCTTAAGGTACCCCTGCCTCTGGAATAAAGTACTCAGAGTAGGTGTCCTCGACATTTACCCGACAGTCTGAGTGTCAGATTGTATCAAAGGCCTTCTCTACATCGAGAAGGCAAACAACCGTGCACTTTCTTTTATTAAAACTATCTATAGCGGTTTCAGTTAACCTACCTAGATTATCAGTTGTTTGTCGAAATTTCCTGAAGTAGTTTTGTATTTCCGGTAATTTTGAATTGTGTTCTAGGTAATTATCTAGTCTTTCACTTATTATTCTTTCTAATTTTTTCCTACGCAGCTGGTCAGGCTGATTGATGTGTTTGCTGGTTTCACTTCCTTTAAAAACATGAAAATATTCACTTGCTTCCAAGAGAAAGGGATGTACTTTGTTTTCAAGGAGAGGTTGAAAAGTGCCTTGAGGTGTTCAAGTAATAACTGAGTTCCGTTTTTGAGAAGTATTGCTTGTATGTTTTCTGCTCCTGGAGCTTTATTTTTAGTGTGTTTTATAGCTATGGAGATTTGTGTCGTTGTTATTTCACATGTCATGTATTCATCCAAGATGTTAATTGTTACTTCTT